CCGCAGGGGGACCGAGGGGGGCTGGGCGGAGGCGATCGCGGTGTTTATTATGTGTATTGCGTCTAATAACGTATTACGATGCACTCCTTAGAGACTACGTTGCATTGCGGTCACGCAGTAGTAGGGCTGCACACCCACCAAGTAGGTTAGGGGGGAAGGTGAGATGGAGACGGTAATTGGAAGGCAGCGATAGGCGCCGGGGAAAGGAACGGGGAAATCGGGGGGAATGGGGGAGGAGAACTTTTGTGAGGTATTAGCAATGTCGGTGTTAGCTATTTTATATGTATATCCTGGATGGCGTCCAAACAAACGCCCAAGCAAACCAGGTTCTCAATAATAGTCGCGGACCCTGTGCAAACATCCCTTCCCACCTCTCTCTGCTGGACTCTCCTCCACTGGACTGCTCCTTCACACTACCCTCAACGACTTGTGGTGTGTTTTTTCGTTACTGCAAATCACTGCAGGTGCTGCGGTTGTGTTATCGGCAGCGTGGCGTCATTCAGGAGCTGCGGCTGGGGGGCTCCATGATCACACCGAATGGCAGCTCACTGCTGCAGCGCCTAGTGCCGCTGCTGGGCAGGTGGGACAGAGGAAGGCAACAGACCTGCGACACTCCAACTTAGCCCACCTAGGGGTGACATCGGGGTGGTTGCTACACCCTTTACGTGGGGATTGTTTGGCTGCATTTTTCCATGTGCGGCACAATGAAGCAAGGGGGTCCCGACACGGATTCTGGTCACGGATTGCTGGGGGGGGGGGATGGGTTGCCTGGTGTTTTTGGCTTTGCATAATCGTGCACTGCACTGCACTTCACGAGAGGGGACACCTGAGTAGAACTCCTGTGTGTGTGTTTTTAGTACCAGTGTCTTTCCCCGCCATCCAATCCCCCCCTGCAAATTGCTGCGTATTTGTTCAAACAACGTAACAACAACAACAACAACAATGACTAAAACTCATCCCTCCACGGCTTTCCTTGTCCGAACTTCGCACCCCCCACCCCCACCCACCCACTGACACGTGTTCCTGCGGTGCTGTGTCAGCCTGGCCACCTTGGAGCTTCAGCAGTGGATCCTGACGGACCGGGCCCTGACGCACCTGTCCGGGGGGATGCCCAACCTGAAGCAGCTGATTCTGCGGGAAGTGCAGATCGTGGGGGGACCTGGTGCGCAGGTGCGGGGGTGAGAGGGAGGGTGTGTGTGTGTGTGAGGGAGAGAGAGAGAGAGAGGCGCGCTGTGTGTTTGTTTTGTGGGACTGGGCTGCATGGGGGGAAGGATGAGCGGGGCAGGGCACCGTCTCTAGGGTTTTGCTGGATGCAGGTATCAGTTGCTGGGAAAGGGGAAGGGCGGAGGCGACGGCCCGTGAAAGCTGGCAATCGATCCTGTCTCGAGCCATTATTCATCCCTTTTGCATTACAGCGCGGTACAGCTTTGCTGTCAAGGTAACGCTGTTCTCATGCGCTGGACGTCCCTCCATTCCTGTGTTCGTGCTTCCCGCCACCACTACCCGGGGGTCTGGGTGCGGTTTCGCCGCCCCGAGCACTCCAACCCCCAGTATTCCTGTCTATTCCTGGTGGGAGTATCCGTCTACCTCTGGCATCTCCTTCAATCGCCAGTGGCTTAACCCAACTCCATACACACATACACACACCTTGTTGCCCTCCTGACCTCCCTCCGTTGTATCCCTCCCCCCCTCCCTCCCCCCCCCCACACACACAGGCCGACGCCTCTCTGTCCCACCCTCACGTGACCTCCCTGGACCTCTCCCGCTGCAAGTCCGGCCGCCTGGCCCTCAGCTGCCCGCAGCTGCTCCGCCTCTCCATCTGCTACTCCCAGTTCACCGCCCTCGTCACCTCGCACGGCTCCCTGCCCTGCCTCGAGTACCTTCACCTCGCCTCCACGCAGCGACTCACCGACCAGAGCCTCCTCTCCGCCGTCACCTCGCTCCTCTCCCTCCGCCACCTCATCCTTGAGGACGTGCCGGTTTCGGAGGATCTCATCCGCGGCGCCGCGCGCTCCCTGGAGCACCTGACCCAGCTGGAGATCAAGGTCTGCAGTGGGCTGATCCTGTCGGCGGCGCGGGGGCCCCCTGCGTTCGCCTCCCTGCGGCGCCTGGTTCTCCGCCGGTGCGAGTCCGTCTCCTCCACGACAACGGCCCTTCTGGTGGAGGGCTGTGTGGGCCTGGATGAGCTGGAGCTGGATGGGTGCGGCCAGCTGGTAACGCTGACAGCGACGTTGCCGGTGTTGCGCAGTTTGTCGTTGCGGGGTTGCCGGATGCTGACGGTGTTGGAGCTGCGGTGCCGGCGGCTGGAGGAACTGCGGTTGGGCTCCCTGGAGCCGGGGGTTCCGGGGGGAGCGGCGCTGCGGCGGGTGCTGGTGGCGAGTGATGCGCTGCGTGCCATTGCCTGGCGGCATCTGCCCTCCCTGGAGGAGCTGGTGCTGGACTGCCCCGCACTCACCTCGCTTAGCCTGACGGACTGTGACAGCCTCACGGATAAGGTGGGAGGGAGGGAGGGAGGGAGGGAGGAGGGGGGGTTGTGGGGAAAAGACCGTGATGTTTGAAGATCTATCTCCCCTCCACCTTCAACATGGTAACTTGTAGTTTGAGTAGGTTATGCGCTTGTTGCACAAGGGGGGGTTAAGGTAATGTAAGGTATTGTTTCGCAATCCTGCGGTAGCGCAAAAGGTAGTGCAGTGTTTCTGCGGCTCGCTTAGGCCGGCAGTGGAGTGGCTGGGTGCCTGGCGCCACCTGTGTCAGACTGGAGCATGCTTTGGCAGCTAAGGCCTAGGGCCGCCGCCGCCGCGTAGCGCCCCTGAACACCCAAGTAGCCCCGGGAAGCCTTCCCCTTCCGCGCCACACGTCCCGCCTCTCATGAGCACCGGGGCGTTTGCCGGCCTGGTCAGTCTTAACCACATCGACGACCTTCTCCTACTCCGCCCATATCTCGGCACTTGGCAGCTGGTGCGTTGCCTTTTGCACTCATATAACTCCCGGTCCCGATCCCGCCCATCGAGACCAGGAGAGTATTCAGGGGGTTGTCTCATCACACACACCTCAGGACACATGCTTTCGGCGGTCGTTACCGTTGGGATACGGTTAGGTGCCCCTGGCCAGCATCAGGCCCGGATGGATATATAACACACACAGACACACACTCACAGACGTAACCCCCACCCACCCCATTCCGCCCCCTCTTGTCACCCCCCTGGACCCCACCGCGGCCCGCAGATCTTTGACATGCTCACGGACGTGCAGGAGGTCACCCTGGCACCCGCACCCGCACCCGGGGGCCCCACGGCGCCTGCAGTGGAGCCACCACCACCACCACAACAACAACAACAACAGCCGGTGCATATGTCTGTGCCGTCCCGGCAGCTACCTCCGCCCCCGCCGCCGCCTGAGCAGCCGCCTCACCCACAGCCGACCCAGGTGCAGGCCCAGGTGCCGGCGGCGCAACAGCCCCTGTCACATCAGGCGCATCCGGACCACCTGCTGGCCGCACAGCTGCAACGCCAACCGCAGCCGGCCAGACGGGACGTGTTTGGGTATCGCGGCGCAGCGCCAAGACCGGTAAGTTGGTGGTGGTCCTGCTGCGGTAGATCAGCAGAAGCCCTTTCCCTTCCCGGGGGGTTGGATTCCGAAGCCTGTAAGGGGGTCGCTGCTATTACGCGTGTTATGGCTGGGATGCGATGGGATGCTGTGCTGAGCTGTGTTGTGCTGTGTTGTGCTATTGACATGGAAGGGCCTTCTCGCTTCACTTGGGTCCGGATTGATGTGTGTCCCGTGTGTCTCCTGCCCGACCTGACTGCAGCAGTGCGGATCCTTGATGCAATCATCAAAGTGCCGGCGGACAATGACTTGCACAGACTTGCGTGGTTTGTTACACCACGGCGACGGCGCCGTCGGGCCATCTGAACGGCACCCCTTCCTGGGATCAGATCCTTTATCAACAATTTGATGTAAATAAGCTTGATTGTCCAATATTGTTTATGTGGATGGTTACACTCCGTACACCCACAGGAGTTCCTTTCCTATCGCCACCTTACCCCATGCTTCCTTCTTGCTCCGGTATCGCCGATTCCTGACAGGTGCTCCGCGACCAGGATGTTGGACCGGGTCGCTTCCGCCTCCGCCTGCGTGCCATGATGAGGGCGGAGCGGCCCCTCAGAGACAGAGACGGAGACGGAGACTGGGAGCGCCTCCGTGTGGAGCTGGGCAACGTGGTGGAACGGAGGGTGGGCGAGGAGCAGGAGCCAGCGGTACCACCCATCGCTGCAGCTGCACCTGGATCGAGACGGGAACCAGCGACGGCAACAGGAGGTGCGGCGTTATCCGGAGTGGAGACAGTCGCAGCAGCTCCAGCAGCACCAACAGGCGCAGCAGGGCCCGGCGCCGGGTATGGAGACGGTTCTAATGGCAGCGGGGAGGAGGGGTTGGACTTGGTGGCGGCGGGAGCACCTGAGGGGCCGGGGCGTCGAGCTGCAGGCCTGCAGGGTGGGCCGCCGCAGCGCAGGCTTGGCGGTGCAGGTGGGGATGATGCCGGGAGCAGCGGCGCTCGCACATTTGCGGTAGCGACGGCGGCGACGGCGGCGGCGATAGGGCCGGCGCCAGGACTAGCACCTGCGGCCGACACGGTGGTTAGCTGGATTCCGAAAGTCGTCCGCAGCAATAACAGCGGCAGTGGGTCCACGAACCAACCAGCGACGCTACCACCTGCACTGCTACAGCTGCCGCTACAGGCTCCAGTGCACATGATGGCCCTGGGTCCATGGAGCCTGCAGCAGATTGCAGACGCCCGAGTGGAACTGCAACAACAACAGCAGCAACAGCCACAGCCACAGCCCAGGCGCACGCCCTGGTGGCCGCAGGGGCCACCGCCGCAGGTAGCCCAGTACGTGCCGCCGCACCAACCGCTGCCGCCGCCCCCGCCCCCGCAGCACCAGCAGCGCATCTTTATGGTGCACCTGCCGGGGACCCTGCTGCGGCCCCAGCTGGCCCCAGCACCAGCACCACCGCCTCTAGCGCTGCAGACTCACCGCCAAGCGATGCTGCAGGAGATGCTGCAGCCAGCTGCCCAACACCGCCCGCGGCAGCACCAGCACCAGCACCTACAGCCACAACACCAACCTCAGAAACCACACCAACCGCAGCAACTACAGCAACAGCAGCAACAGCAGCAACAGCAGCAACTACAGCAACAGCAGCAACAGCAGCAACAGCAGCAACAGCAGCAACAGCAGCAACAGCAGCAACAGCAGCAACAGCAGCAACAGCAGCAACAGCAGCAACAGCAGCAACAGCAGCAACAGCAGCAACAGCAGCAACAGCAGCAACAGCAGCAACAGCAGCAACAGCAGCAACAGCAGCAACAGCAGCAACAGCAGCAACAGCAGCAACAGCAGCAACAGCAGCAACAGCAGCAACAGCAGCAGCAACAGCAGCAACCGCAACAGCAGCAACCGCAACAGCAGCAACCGCACCAACAGCAACCGCACCAACAGCAACCGCACCAACAGCAACCGCACCAACAGCAAGAGCAGCAAGAGCAACAGCAACCACACCAGCGACAGCAGCAACCACACCAGCAACCACACCAGCAACAGCAGCAACCACACCAACCACACCAACCACAGCAACAGCAGCAACCACAGCAGCAACAGCAGCAACTTCCGCAGGTAGTGGCGCATCCCAAGATGGGCGGCTGTCCCCGGCTGCAGGAGCTACGTCTGGAGGGCTGTGATGGGCTGCGCCATGCGCGGCTTCGTCATGGCCGCTTGGTCACCGCGAGCTTCCGGGGGTGTCGCGGTCTGCTGACTCTGCGGCTGTGCTGCCCCACGCTGGGGACGCTGGCTCTTGAGGAGTGCGGCGAACTGGAGAGCGTGGCGCTGTCGCCAGCGGGACTGAGCAGCCTGTCGCTGGGTGAGGGGTGCTCGGCCGAAGACGGGGATGAGGGCAGGAGGGCCTTTAACCTAGGTTTTGGTTTGGATTGGTTGTGAGTGGGTTGTGAGTCGCCGTGGGTGATGGGGTTGCTAAACGAAGGTCGGGGGACTCCACGGCGGCTCCCTGGGTTTGTGGGACTGGACTTTGGCGAGCACTGAGCTTCTTGGACCATTGGGGAGGGTCTGTGCACGTGTGCGTGTATGTATGTATGTATGCATGTATGTATGTATGTGTGTATGTATGTATGACTTAGATTACACTGTGGGCTGCGAGAGCCGGGGGCCGAAGCCGAAACACAGCGCTATGTATGCATGTATGTATGTATGTATGTATGTATGTATGTATGTATGTATGTATGTATGTATGTATGTATGTATGTATGTATGTATGTATGTATGTATGTATGTATGTATGTGCTACCGATTTTTTTTACTTTATAAATCTATATACGTGTGAAACTGTTTATTAATAGCCCGAATTGGGATTGAATGAATGGGTGGTGTTGTGGTCTAGTGGGGTGTGGCGTGGCAGGTTCGTTAGGACTGGTTGAATGAACCCACGCCCCTCCTTTCCTGTCTCTGCCCTTGAATCGTTTGGCTTTGGCCGCCATCACCTTGCTGGCAGCTGTAACGGACAGCTCGCCTCACCCCTCCCCCTGCTCTCCCTCCCTCTCGTCATCCCCCTGCTCTCCCTCCCTCTCGTCATCCCCCTGCTCCCCCTCCCTCTCGTCATCCCCCTGCTCCCCCTCCCTCTCGTCATCCCCCTGCTCCCCCTCCCTCTCGTCATCCCCCTGCTCTCCCTCCCTCTCGTCATCCCCCTGCTCCCCCTCCCTCTCGTCATCCCCCTGCTCTCCCTCCCTCTCGTCATCCCCCTGCTCCCCCTCCCTCTCGTCATCCCCCTGCTCCCCCTCCCTCTCGTCATCCCCCTGCTCCCCCTCCCTCTCGTCATCCCCCTGCTCCCCCTCCCTCTCGTCATCCCCCTGCTCTCCCTCCCTCTCGACATCCCCCTGCTCCCCCTCCCTCTCGTCATCCCCCTGCTCTCCCTCCCTCTCGTCATCCCCCTGCTCTCCCTCCCTCTCGTCACATCCCCCTGCTCCCCCTCCCTCTCGTAATCCCCCTGCTCTCCCTCCCTCTCGTCATCCCCCTGCTCCCCCTCCCTCTCGTCATCCCCCTGCTCTCCATGCCGTCCAGGTGCTTGCTGCGCCCTCCGCGAAGCCGAGCTGTTATGTCCCTCCCTAGAGCAGCTCAGTCTCAAGGGCTGCGGCAGCCTGCGCCACGCCAGCCTGCATTGCCCCCGACTGAGGGAGCTGGATGCCACCTTCTGCGGAGGTCTCACAGACGAGGGTGGGTGAGCGAAGAGGGTGTGGGGGGGTGAGTGGTCGGCTGAGGGGCGTGTTAGCTTGTGGAGTGATGCTGCGGGGGACGGACCCTGCCTGCTGGCTACAGCTAATTCGCTTTGCATGGTGCTTGGGATAGTGCTCATAGTGCTCCTTGTGGATGGGGCTCTGCTAGGGCAGATATGTGATCCATTAAACTAGGCTTTACAAACCATGAAGCAATGGAAAGGAGGGCGCCACCACTGTCATCCATTTGAATTCCATGGGATTTCCGCGTGTGGTCATTCCGTGCCAGGGCCGGAGTGGATGATGGGATGTGATATAACGGAGTGGTCCTGTTGGGTGCAGAGTAGGCTTTTTGCTGGGAGGTGTTGCACCCCCGCCTATTGTGTTCCTTGGCGCTGAGTGCGTTCTGCGCACGTCCCTGGCTACGTCTTTCCCCCTCTTTTGGGTGCTCCCTTCCAGCGAGAGAGTCCTCTGATTGGTTGTCCTGGCGGTCAGGGGTTGACAGGGGGCCGCGCAACATCGCGCAACAGCGGACACCGCACTTCCGAACACTCCTCCGCGCCGTTGGCGGGTTACCACATCCTCCCCACCTAAGTGTCTTCGGCCTCATGTCCCGTACACCCCGCCTCTCCCTTTCTTGCCCCCGTTCTGCACGGCGCCCCTGTCATGTACGACAGCCCTGGCGACGGCGCTGGCCAGCCGTCCACCGTTGGCCTCGTTGGTGCTCAGCGTGTGCTGCTCGCTAGGCCATGACATGACGGCGCCGCTGTCCGTACTGGCGGGGCTGCGCCACCTGGACCTGTCGTACAGTAGCGTGTCGCGGCTGGCGCCCGTGCTGTCAGGCTGCACCGGCCTCACGGCGCTCTGCCTGGGCTCATGTCCGGAGCTGGATGCAGAGGGGGAGGAGCTGCTGCAGCTGCTGCCTGAGAGGGTGAGGATGAGGGGTTGGGATGGCCATATGGGTCACGGTGCGGGGCGAGGGTGAAACAGTGAACAGGCGCCAGCAGCGCTCCCAAGCGGCCTTCGCTGCCATACAGAGGTGGAGATGTTCGCTGAGGGCGTAGTGGTGATATGGTCGGAGTGGTTACGTGGGACAATTTCGGTGGTCAAAGAAGGCCAACTGGCCCCTGGATAGGCAACAGCGGCAGCTGGAGGCGGCTTCCCGGGGAAGAAGAGAAACTACTCCCCTAGCGCTCGTCCTACCCGCGGCAAGCAGAATGGGTTGAAGGCACGCAGAAGATTACATCAGTAAAAAACAGGTGTTGAGAAAGGACAGGTGCCCGGAAGGCAAAAGCTGCTCTGCGTCGCTTTTGGTCGCGGCTTGCTTTACGTTTGTTGTCACATGCTGCGGAGGGGGACTGCGTTCATGGGAAAGGAGGCCGCCACGTTCTTCGGGCTAAAATTTGCTCGGTTTTGGAAGGAGCCCTTAGAGACTACACGTGCGATAATTTTATCCATAGGTGCATCATGAAGATTTAAACGTGGGGTAGGTAGCATTAGCAAGCTTAGAACACCAAATTACACAGCGCAACGCAAGGCAGCCCTCCTCTTTAATACGCTGTGTGTAATTTTATAGCACTAGAATGGCGCTGTCAACCGGCTACATGTCAATCGACACGGGTGTATGAAGCTGTAATCTTGTATCGCTGTAGTTTTGCCCCTATGGACCCCAAGTCCTGTGTCCGCTCCACAGTATCTTCCCGTATCCTCCTCGAGCTGCCTTACCCGCTCACTTTCCCGCGAGCGGTGTTCTAAAAGACTACCCCCCGCTCTAACCGCATCACCCTGTTGTTTTCCACCCACGTGCTGCACCCCACCCCACCCTGTGCGAACCCACTAGGGCAATGCGCTGCCGCACCTATCCTCTCTCGACGTGTCGTACTGTCCGCTATCTCCCCGCGTCGTCGTACCGCTGGTGAGGGGCCTCACGCACCTGACACACCTGGCCCTGAACGGCTGCCTGGGGGCTGATGAAGGCATCTGGCGCTGCGCAGTACTGGAGCCAGGCACAGCCGGCGGGCAGTCCCGTCAGAAGGGTGCACCTAGCGGGAACATGGCCTCGACCGAGGACGAGAACATGGCCGTGAACAACAAGGCTTTTCCGGTCCCCGCGGGGGCTTACACGACGGGCGCTGGTGCCATGGTGGCCGCTGCAGCGGCCGCTGAGCCGCCACGCAGCGGCGATGTCCCGGCATCCCGGCTGGAAAAGCTGAGCCTCGTGCGCTGCACCTACCTGGCGTCTCTGTGCCTAGGGCTGGTGCCGGTGCAGGACGCGGCCCCCTGCCCCAATCGTCAAGGAGGCCGTGGAGACGGAGGCAGTTGTCGTGGGGCAGATCTGCGCGGTGGGGCAGCGAGCTCCGCTAGCGAGGCCTCAGGCAGTGGCGCGGTGCCTGGCAGCGGCGGGACCCGTATCGGTGGGCCGGGTTGTGGCTGGCAGTGGCCGGAGGGTGGTCCGCCGCCGCGGTCGCTGCTGGGGCCGCCGTGGAGACCCGTGGGCTGTGTGCTGTCGGGGCTGCGGAGCCTGAGGCTTGGGCTGAGTGGCGTGCAGGTGGGTGCAGTGCGGGTGGTGGGAACCCCCGGAGCACTCAGGGGTCCACCGGCGGCAGAATGGGCCTGACCGTTAAGTCGCGCCAGTGTCCTCACAAGCTGCCCTGCATGCTGAGCTGTGTGTGTATGTGTGTGTGTATGTGTATGATTCACAGGCTGTGGCGCTGGCGCTGCCTCACCTGACCCAGCTGGACCTGAACGGCTGCAGCGGCCTCCGCTGCTTGGAGCTGCGCTGCCCCGCTCTCAGCGAGCTGCACCTGCAGGCCTGCTGCTCACTGCCAGCCGACCTTTGGCTGCCGCTGCTGGGGGCACTGGGCGGCACAGCTGCCGGTGGCCGCGGCCTGGCGCTGCTAGATGCCCAACACGCGGGGGCGTTCGGAGAGGCTGTGGCGGCGACGCTGGCGGCAGCGGCGGTGATGGCAGCCGCCGCCGAGGGCGACACGGATCCGGGCCCGAGCTGCAGCAACGCCGCGCAGGCCGTTCCTGCGGGGCCGGTGCTGGCAGAGGCGGATGAGACTGAAGGCGCCGGTACCCGTGGCGTCATCATCTGCAGCAAAGGGGGGAAAGGGGAGGAGCAGGGTACGCCTGTGAAGGGCGGCCTAGCGGGTGGCGGCACTGGTGGCAGAGGCAAGGCGGGTAGGATGGTAGTGAGCGCTGACGTGCTGCTGGCAGCCCGTGATGAGCCGTGGTGGCTGCTGCCCCGCGGCGCCACGGTGCTGGCATGCGGCCCAGAGTGCACAGCATGTGGCCGCCGCAACCGCCGGGCACTGCAGTGCAGGGTCTGAGGGGGTGAGGCGCGGGAAGGGGCGGCGGGTCCCGGCAGGTGGAAGCCTGTGAGCTGTAGAGGGAGAGGAAGGACATCCTGGACGAGTCGCGGTACTGTGTTTGTGGATAACGTGCGCTGCTTGGGCATGATTGCAGAGATTTCAGTTTTGTAAAGGATTGTGATTTCTGACGGCGAAGCGGCGGATGTACGGATGGGTGGCGGCGTAGATGGATGCTTGGCTGGGAGGTAGAGCATTGTTTGGCGGGATGGGCTTGAGTCTGGGCATGGGCTCTAAGGCTCGTCGACAGGGTGCTGTTGAGCACAAAGACGGGTGACTGGGTTGCGGCCACCAAGGGGGCCCAAGTTTTACATAGTGCGTCCCCAAGCAATGTACACCGCTGCTGCTCCTTGCGTCAGCATGTGCTTGCATCCGGTAGAGGTTAGGTTCGCTGGGACTAAAGGTGGTGAGTGTAAAACGTTGTAGGAGGTGGGAGTGGTAGGGTTTGGGCCGTGGCATCGCAGTCGATGTATGTATGTATGTATGTATACACGCCATATCTATTCGTGACTCGCCTCCTCCTCCTCCTCCTCCTGCATGGTACCCTGTTTGTCATATCTGAGCACATGGTTGGAGGGCGGGGTACTTCGCCTTCTGGTTGGTCTAATCGAACGAGAGGGTGGTGTGGCATGGCATATGAGTGGTCCCGTACCTTCGGTGGCCGCATGCAACACAAGACGGTGTCGGGTCATGCAGTCGTCAGTACCCCCGGAATGTCATGACGGTGTTTCCGCGGTGCTCTGTGGTGCGTGGAGGATTCATTGATGTGTGAGGCTGGCATAATGCATTTAAGAAAGACAATAATGGTATTGGCTGCAGGAGAAGACCGTTGCTTTCATAAACCACGGTGTGTGTGTGTTCCCTTTCGTGTGTGCATTTCACCGTGGTTCTTGCCGCTTCTGAAGAAACAAATTTTAGAGTTGTTGTGGCCGTGTGTGGCATTCAACCACCATCCCTCCACGCCCCTGCTGCTAGCCGCCCTTCGCTGTACAGAAGTGTGCGAGTGGTAGGTAACGGCTGGCTTATTTTGAGGGGTTGCATGCCCGCTGCAGGACGATGTCCGTCTGTCTTTGACATCCTGCTGGGCGTTCCGAGGCCCTGTTGGGTAATCATGGGGTTAGCTTGAAGATCTGGAAGATGGAATCAAACAATACTCTATCTGGGGACCTTATCCTAGGTTTACCGGAGATAAGTGCAAATTCCGTGCAAACGTCGGTCCTTGTTTTCGCACGGTCCGGCACCGCCCTCATACAGTGCGGGTCGCGGTGCACAAAGGCACCGACGATCCTCATACCTTTGGATCGGTTGCTGTAACGGGATCCAGATTTGGGGCTCTGGTGCGGACCCAGGAACATTACGCTAATCGCTCCTTTCATTTGAAACGCTTTTGGGGACAGTTACCTGGTTCTGCCTTGCGTAGCAGTACAGCTGTAATAGTTTAGTATATTCTAAGGTAAATGTAGCTAACTACGACAGCTGTTCCCTGCGGGCGATATCAGAGATAAAGAAACTTCACTGCTGAACCTTCTCGTTGGCTAATTAAAAGGGAAAATGAAAGAGTTCTCGGCCCCAGCCGCGCTCCAAACAAATCAACAACCGGGCTGAGGTCGTGTTTGAGCGCTTACAGTTTGCAAGCCTCCCGGTGTATGGCCTGGTTGACATTAGCACCCTCCCCCGACTGTGCCATTCCGCATATCGAAGGAACTGGGGGACGCAATACCAATCAAATCGTGAAAATGTCGCAAGTAGTCGCAATGCCCGCCAACAACCATCCATACACGGATCGGCTGATCCAGCAGGCAAGCAACCTGTCTTCATTGCCTATGTCTCCAACACACATATACACATATATATGCCCCACCTCGCTAGCAGCATCACACCGGCATACCCTTCATATCGGCCATGTAGTCCACAGGCTCATCACTGAAGCCCCCTTCCCGCCCACAGGCCGCCATACGGCTGGGTGCACCTACCCCGAACACAGCTGCTTCATCCAGCGTCTCCATCTGATGAACAACAAAACTCGAGAAGTCCAAACAACAGCTTCATCCAAGCCAACTGCGACGATCCCCACCATATTGATGCGGATTGCAAGTAACGCACTGAATGGCCAGGTTGCAACAGGTGCAGCGACTTGCAGCGCCAACACCGACAGCCCCCCTTCAACAGGCACCCTGGTCCGCTCTCCACTTGCACAATGCACGACCCTCTCTAGAATGCTTTGGCCGACCTTTCCTCTCCCATCCCGAGGTCCGCAACGCACCGTGTTGTCACCCGCACACGAGGCCACCACCGCTCAATATGTACCACTCACTCACCCCACTCCACACCGCTCTGGCGTCCGGAAAGCACTCCGTACCCCTCATCCTAACTCCTCTTCGGACCCCGGCAGCCTCCATCCTCAAGGGTCATCATCATGCTACCCCACCATGCGCGTCGTCAAAGAACTTAATCGTGTCCTTGAGCGCCTCTATGAACGTGTCAATCTCTGCCGCCGTGTTGTAAATGTATGCCGACGCGCGTGCGGATGCCGGCACACCGAGCTCTCTGTGCAGCGGCTGCGCGCAGTGGTGCCCGCTGCGCACTGCCACTCCGGCCATGTCAAGCAACGTTGACACATCAGTCGCGTGCAGTCCCTCCACGTTGAAGGCCGCCAGGGACGCCCGTCCACGCGGCGCACCGGGCCTCGGCCCGTACACCGTCACCCTCGGCGACACCGCCACCAACCGCTCGTACAAGTACGTCCCGATTTCCTCCTCAAAGGCATGCACCCGATCCATGCCCAGCTGCTGCAGCCACTCCGCCGCGGCGCCCATGCCGATGGCCTCGGCAATGGCCGGCGTGCCCGCCTCGAAACGCATGGGCGGCGGGGCATACGTGGACTGGTCTAGAAACACGTCCGCAATCATCTCCCCACCGCCCATCCAGGGCTCCATGGATTCCAGCACATCGTAGCGGCCCCACAGGAAGCCCACACCGGAGGGCCCACAGAACTTGTGCGAGGACGCCACGATCCAGTCGGCACCCAGACTGCAGACGTCCACAGGCATGTGCGGTACGGACTGGCAGCAATCTAGCAGCAGCTTGGCTCCCACGCGACGTGCCTGCTCGGCCACGTAGGCGGTATCCAGCACACAGCCGAGGACGTTGGAGACGTGGACGAGGGAGACGAGGCGGGTGCGCGGGGAGAGCAGCGACCGGAAGTGGTCCATGTCAAGCTGGGATTTGTCGGGTGTGAGGCGCACATGGCGCAGTACGGCGCCTGTACGGGCCGCCAACAGCTGCCACGGCACCAGGTTGGCGTGATGCTCCGCGACGGAGAGGATGATCTGCGGGGATATGGCGATGGCGATGGGGATAGTGGCAGGGGATAGTGTTTTGACTGGGAAAACCACCTGACACCTGACAAAAAAGATGCAAGCGATGCTAAGAGAAAGGGTGACGACAGTGGTGATGCGCTAGAAACGCATCGTACGTACATGTCTGGAGGCAAGCGGAAAAAACAGCGCTGCCGCTGTCAAGCGCCGTTCACATGTATGTATGTAGCAGGGTGGATGCCGGGTGTGTACATGACATGGTACTCGCCGCGACCCACCTCGTCGCCCTGTTTGATGTTGGCCGCTCCCCACGTGTTCGACACCAGGTTGATTCCCTCCGTAGCATTCCGCACAATGACAACCTCGCGGCTGGTGGACGCGCCAATAAAGGCCGCTACCTTGGCGCGCGCCTCCTCGTACTCGTTGGTAGCCTTGGCGCTGAGGGCGTGCACGCCGCGGTGCACGTTGGCGTTGTACTCCGTGTAGCAACGCGACAAAGCGTCAAGCACTGCACGAGGCTTTTGGCTGGTCGCTGCGTTATCGAGGTACACGAGCGGCAGGCCGTTGACTTTTTGGTCGAGGATTGGAAATTCGGCCCGCAAGGCCGCACCCAGAGCAAGCTGCGCCGGCACTGGTGTTGGCAGAGGAGAGGCCATGTCGACGTCCTACGTAGATAAGAAGGAGCAGAGCTCATTGGGCAAGGGATCTATCAACAAGAGGGAACGCATGGAGACGTCGGTGGTTTCATTCCGACGAACCCGGACGGCCATAGATCAAGATCATACATACTAGATCCCCCCGGTTTTGCGACAAGTTAGTACCGCAAAAAATGACTGCACCAGTAGTCGAGACCACCAGGCCTATCACGCGAAGGCCAAGGTGCTTACCGCTATCGCGGCACGCCTCAAAGCACGCCATCCCTTCCCCACGAGTGACCTGTGCATGCTGGAAACTGGTGTTTGATATGCCCGGCCTGAAGTGGAGGCGGGTAGGCTAATCGTCTGGCTAAGCGACCTCATTCGTCACAGACTGAATTCAAATCTATACCAAATATGTATCATAGAAGTTAATCCTACGTAAACATCTTTGATACAGATGAATACATTGTTGGAAAGCACAAACCAAGCATGCTGCACGGCAACACCATAATCAAATGGCCTGCATGACTGATGTAGGCTAAATCATTTTAGTTAGACATCCAATTTACACATAGTAAGCAAACAATATATACCAAATTGTTCAGGAAGTCTAGAAAATTCTGCGCTCACCGTCATCACGTTGATTACTCCTAACGACGTTGCAACCACGGTTAATGTTATTCAACTGAGCCGATTCCGTTGTATCGTTGTGATTCCGCCATGGGAAATCAACAGAGCTCGGCACCCAGCTCCCCTCCGGCAGCATGCGCAGCGTGCGCTGACGGCCAACCAAGTGCCAAGGAGGCGCCATCATGCCCGGTCAATCCACGGCACCGCAACCCAGCGGTCTATAACGTCTATGGAGAGCGTATCAACGACCCGAACAATCCCCAGCCAAAGAGCCCTCTGCAGTCAATACAAGGCGCCGACATGCTGGACCCCAAAAACAACATGCCGCTGGAGCCCAACCAGTTGCCTTGCCCTGGACAGCGCAAACCCCTATCTACGGAGCGAGTAGCCTCCACAATTCCTAAAGGGGGCACGGATGGCACCTGGCTATTCCCCTCGCCGCAAATGGTCTTCAATGGTACGGGAAGGGCTGGTTGGGATTTTGAGGAACGGAGGGTTCGGTTTCGGTGCATGCCAAGGAAAGACCGTACGGGAAGCAGGTGGCAGATAAGGCCAAAATTGGGTGCACAGTTATCTGTGGGCCATTTTAGGCTGTTCTTGGAGAGAACTATGGCTATGGTCGTGCTGCACCCACCGATGCTGTACCCACCCATTGCTGCACCGTGCTGCACCCACCCATTGCTGCACCTACCGATGCGTACCTTGGCTGTGGATTGTAATTATGTGCCGTAAGTGTAGAGCCCGGAACAGCTTTCATGCCGCCACCACCTGGGGCATGCTAACTCTTGCATGAGCCGCACCCGCACCCATCCTTCAATCTCCATGTCGCCATCTGGCCTTCCGCTCTCATGCGTCGCAGCCCTAAGGCGTAAAGGCAAGGGCGACGATGTCACCGAGGACGATATGGACGGCTTCATTGCGGCGCACAACAGTGAGCAAACCTTGACTTAGCCGCAGGATACTCTCAATCGGGCAGAGGGCATCATCGGGGGGGGGGCACGGCAGGGACGAGCTGGAGGGGTTAGGAGAGCGGGGCCTGGGAATAGCAGTTGCCAACGGCAACAGTCGCGGGGGCGGCGGTGACACTGCAGCGGTGGTAGCAGTCATCCGCGTCTGCTCCAGCCTTTTGAATTTTGAATTGGACCTGCACAAGGATCCTATCCGCACCTGCGCGGGCTGGCATGGGGTGCCACGGGGTCCTATCATCATCATCACCCTGCGGGGGAGGTTCCGCCTCTGCAGCGTGCATGGCCCAGGTGGAGTGCCCCGTGATGGATGTTGCAGCGTGTAATGTTGCAGCTGCAGCATTTGAAGATTTTATCTCGGCTCGGCTGGAAACCACGGACGGGTGCCGCAGTTTCCTTCACATATATGCTTGCACACACGCATGCATCCGCGGCTCAGAACGGCCGCCGCTGTGGTGGTGTCCCTTTCTTTCTCTTTGTTGCGTTATCGTCGAGTGCTGCTCTACGTCCAACCACCGCCTGGTATCTGGTGGCTCGGGATGCATCGCACGGGATGTGTACTAGGGGTACAAGTGGGCGTTGTCGTGATTTTTGATTCCCTTACCTTGACGATGGCGGCCTTGGCGTGTGCCGTCGCAATGAGTTATAACCCGGCGCCATATGCGCCGTATTGCCAGGTATGAACGAGGCGACATGGCAGCGAGTGATGTTGTGGGAGTCGCTGCACCGGCCAGAGTGCGACTACCCCACGTTGCTGCGCTTCCAGGGCAAGCCCCACGACCTAAGGTACGTATGGTAGGAAGGTAGGTGCGGGCTTGGTCAGGTACTTTCTGAGCTGCCGCTCCAGGCTACACGGCTTCACGGCCGGCTAGGGGACGGAGGGGGCAGCACAACGCCCATCTTCGGGAGTACTGAAGTATTGAAGGCCCGAAGCTCCTTCCGGCTATGTAGCGAATGTGAATTTGACGCGCGCGCGCGCGCGCGTGTGTGTGTGTGTGTGTGTCTCTGTGTGTGTGTGTGTGTGTGTCTCTGTGTGTGTGTGTGTGTGTGTGTGTGTGTGTGTGTGTGTGTGTCTCTGTGTGTGTGACTGGCTCAAGGGCAGCTGAGGTCTTTGCCCTGCTGTGCCCTGCTGTCGCATGGCACCGGTTTACGTACATCATGGCACCGGGGATAGTTCCGGGAGGTTCCAAAGTAGCGGGAGTAGGGTCTCAAACATCATTAAGGACAAGCTAGCGCGGCCTGCTTTGAACGGCTCATGAATGACCTGTCGGTATGTTCGCCTGGCTCGAGTGGTACGGCAACCTGGTTTCCATCCCGCCCACCGCCCTCCGCAGTCCCTTGGCCTGGATCCGGAACCTGCTGGGGGGTCCCGCACCTTTCGACCGCCACGACTGGATCGTGGATCGGTGCGGCCGGGAGGTGCGCTACGTCATAGATTTTTACTTTTACGATGACAAGGCGGGGACGCCTGAGGTGAGCGATTGGGTTGGCCAGCGACTGGCCGGCTCGCCGAGTGCGCGGGCAACACATCTGCTTTCCCCCCTCTCAACTTCCCCCAGGATAGCGCACAGGTCGTCTTCCTGGATGGGATGATGAATGGGATGATGGACGGCTGGTGTCCCCTCCCCACCCCCCGCAAGTCCAGACAGGCGAACAGCCCTGCGGACTGACCCGAGTGACTCCGCACCCTTTACCCGGGCATCACCACGTGTGTCCAGACATGTGTAAAACCCCCTCTCTAGTGTCCGACACCACGGCAGGTGCTGCTGCCGCTGTTCCTTCCCCCCGCACCCCCACCCCACCCCCCCGCTGTCTCCCGCACCCCCGCTACCGTTACTGCCGGTCGGTGGTGTGTGGCGTTGCTGCGGACACTTTCGAACTGCAACCCCGACTTCATTGCCGCACATCGCTCCCTCCGGTACACACACGTGCGCCTCTCTTCCGGTGTGTGACGGTGTGCGAACATAGGACCCGCCACCTTTTGACACAAGGACATGAACGCACACTCGTACGCTCATACACTCATGCGCCCATACACATGGTCATGTACTCTTTACAGGCCTTTGAGATTGTGGCTCGGCCCGCGGTGGACTCTCTCGAGTCGGCCCTGGACCGTGTCAAGATGAACATCTACATCAAGTTCGCGGAATGGGGTCTTCCCTGCCCCATCACCGGCCACTCGGGCACCGTGGTGGCCAAGCAGCAGCAGCAGCAGCAGCAGGTGGCACAGCCCAGCGGTGCGGGCAGCAGCTAACGGGCTCGTCATCATACACAGCTCGTTAGTATGAGTGCAGTGATGGAAGGCCGACCTTGGCACGATGCAAGGCTTTCTCGCAATGGATGCGCCTGCGTCGCTGTCTGTCTGTCTGTCTGTCTGTATGCCCTCTTCTCTGTTTACATGCCTGTCTATGGGTGTCTGCCTGTGTGGACGTTTTCAGATATATTCTGTGACCGCAGGGCATGGCGTGCACTGTATGCATGTTAGTAGTTTATCTAGACAAGAAGCAAGAAGCGCACGAGCTAATTTAGGCGTGTATCATAGGGTTGTGGTTAGGCAGGTGCTGACGGCTCGTCTCGCCCAGCAGTGGTTTGCCTTGTCACTCCCTGCGTTGGGTTTAGCGGGTGGGGAAGAAGCAGCAGCGCGGGGAAAGATATTGGGACGGATCGCATAACATCGACCGCACTGCTGCACCTGCATCGCATGTGTACAGGCAGAAGTGCAACAGATGCCTGCGCCGGAAAAACGGGGGGCTCCTCTGCCTTTCGCGTGCAGCAGCAGCCGCCGCAGCAGCAGCGTCGTGCTTGCGACTTCTGCCCTGCGGTGACATGTGGACAGGGTAGGAGGAGTGCTGCTGTTCTGCAGCTGGCTATAGCGTGCACTCGTACTTGCACAGCGGAAGAGGGCCACCGGAGGCCGGCAATGGGCTGTCTAAGTTGTTTTCGGAACATTCCTAACGACAATGGTGATCCGGGGATTACGATCCTGGAACACACCGAATTGGCTCTCGAAATGTGACCTCGAAGTGTGAAGCGCTCTGCTTCCACTTTTCCGAATGTAGCAATTTCTAGTGTGTGTGATATGCAAGCAGGAATGCCAAGTGATATGTGTCTGTAGTCAATCATTAAAATTCAAAACAAGCGGCGCAGCGGACGCGTATCCTCGTTACCAGCAATCAACCCTTTTGGACGTAAATCTTCTCCTCGGCCCTTTCCTCATCCTCCCCATCTGCCTGTTCCTCAGCCGACTCCTCGCTCGCAGTCCCCTCCCGCGCGCCAGTCTCGTTAATGCTCTCACCGAACGTTTCGCCACCACTAGGTGGGCGGAGTAGGCCATTTCAACTTCATCCTGTCCAGTAATCAAAAGGTTTGGGAAGTGTGCAGATTACGCGACAACAAGGGGGACTTCCCTGCACGACAAGCGCACCCGCCCCGAAACCACATTCCAGTGTCGCAGTTCCAAACAAGATCTTCCTCAGGCGTTTCTACGATATTTATCCACTTCGGGCAGCCTTCGGCCCCCTCAGGGCTCTTATTGGCCCGTTACACCTTCGGCGGGTAACGCAACTCTAGGTGAAATACACACACACACACACCTGGGTGAGTCCGCCAACCATCTCACTGCCCTACTTATGTAGGGCATCCAAACACCAGCGGCATCGGCCCCCTGCCGGCCGCCTACCTGATGCCCCCCCTCCCCGGAATCGCTGCACGAGATGCAGCTGGACGCGGACGTAGCGCTCAAGATGGAGGCAGACACGGAGAGGAAGATCTCGAAAAGGGGGCTCTGTGGCAGGGGGAAGGAGAGGACAGGACAGGAGACGCCTGCCTTCTCCACCTACCAAGCTTGCACAGGAGGAACTACTCCTATATTAGGTTGAGGCACGGGCGTAGAACCCCAATCCAACCTTCCCGCTATCGTAGCAGGCGCACCTGTGAAGCATGGCCAGTTTAGCGCACCTATCTTGGACCCCATGAACAATACTGAGGCTGTCTCTATACTTTTATTGTATACTGTTCCACGAGTGGAGCAATATTGGACAATCCCCCTGCTACTTGATTAAACAGTAAATAAATGGCCCCTATCCGTGTTGCCAATCCCCTGAAACCGTCCACGGACATGTGATTGCATGATCAAACAAACCATCCCCAGGCACCCTCTTGAGGTTCCATCACTCGCATATTTGGGGGTTTGTACATTTGTAATGTTACAGAGTGGGAGGCTTCTGGGCCGCTTTATCACATTGTCAATTCTACACCTTATAGCACCATCCATTTGGGGGTTTGTACATTTAACATGTGTCACAGTTAAATGGACTGTGACACATGGTCACTAACTAGCCGGGAGTGGACTTGGACCCTACGGCAAAGCTACGGCTATCACAGCTCCACTGCCTAGGCTGTCTGTGTCCTGACGCGGATTCGGATGTGCGATTTTGCAAGCACACATTCTGATTCCTCCGGATAATGTGGTGATACAGCTATCCACTAGTTCAGGACTTAAGGGTGTGTTCACATGTAGTCCAATTGAGAGTCTGATTGGGAGTCCGATTCGGGGCGGCTTTCTGAATTGTGTTCACATACGATTGCGGCCACCGCGCGAGGTGCCACCGCGCCCAGCTGAAGCTCCGCGGCTACGCCCCATCACCCAAGGCAAGCCAGCATTATCTAGGAACAGAACAGTATAAGTATCGTTTCTATGGCGAAAATTATCACCAGGCTTGTACATACATAGCTGCAGGAGTTCGTGAAAAATGCTCGGTGCGCTTTGCGTGAATTAACAATTGGAAAATGTTCCTATAGTATTGTAATGGTAATTATGAGAAACGGTTTGTTAAACAACTTTGTTTTGAGAAAGAAAACTGTGAATCACGTCGAATCATACCCGAAGACAGGGATGCGACCGTATTCCATATTAATACGCCAGCTAATACGCCCGTATTAATACGCCGAATACGCCAGCCAGTTGGGCTGTTTAAGCAGCCCCTCGCACAAATGTGTCCGGTCGTACTTCGCGAATAAAGTGTTCGTACATCGTCCCAAAAAAGCCAGGAGCGAATTTTGCCGCGCAGATGCGCGCGTGCGATTCACAAAATGCGCCTGTACAAGTGTATATAAATTTCTTGAAGGTGCGCCAGCGCATTGCGCAGGTGGTCTTGTTGGCCATAGTCGCACCCGGCATGCAGGCTGGACTATTGCGTGGCTGCTTTGCAGTATCTGAAAGCACCGAAAGCCTACGTCGTAGCTTGCAACACTGGGCTCGTGAAACTGCCGCGGAAGATGAAGCGGTCGGCGAAGAATCAGCCATAAGGCGCCTGCTTTCGGTAGCGCAGCGCATAATGCACATTGTTCCCACTAAACTCAAGTTACACTCTTACGAAATAAATAATAACAACGCAGAATTAGGTAAAGAGAAGATTCGCGAAAGTCGTTCAGAACCTTGCAAGTAAAATGGATGCCGCTGAGGGCTTGGAACAGCTTTTCGCAGCGCATTCGGCCGTGCCTGCGTTAGCCGTGTTGCAGCAACTACGGAAGGACTTGAGCCAGCAGCAAGCTCAAATTCTGTTTAAGAACCACCGGCATTGTCTTCAGATGGGAACATGTAGTTTTGGTCGGCGCGGGCGAGCAGCGTACGCATTGCGCACAGGTACCGAGGTGCAGCGTCTCAGGATGGATTTCAGCCAACAAAGCCTCAAGAGCTGCTGCACAACCACCGGTGTGTCTTCAGTTGGGCACGTGTAGTTTTGGTCGGCGGGGTCGAGCATCGTATGCATTGCGCACAGAAACCAAGGTGCAGCGTCTCTGTAACATCGCCAACATATCCGGTACGCGGTGGCAGGCTTGCCGAGCACGAAATGAAGGGGGGTCGCATCTCACCATTCAACTAAGCATGCATGTGCTCGGTTGAATGCTCGGTAGCATGCGAGTTTACCTATCAGGATGTTTTGTTGCATATATCCCTCCAAGCGAGAGGGCTTGGACCTATGCTGATGTTCGTTACAAGAAGTGAACTGAGGACTGATGCTACACGTCATGTATACGCGTTGCTTAGCTTGCAACGAGACGCGCCCACGATGAAAGCTTCAGCTACACTCACAATACATTATACTGCTACACTATTCTCTCCAGTCCTACCACATTATATTTCACCGACGTACTTCTGCACCTTCCACATCACCATACGTGCTTTGGAAACGCGGGCAGCTGCTTCACAAGGGCCCCCATCTTTATGCGTTGGCGTATTGTTGGCGTATTGTCGGCGTATTGTTTGTCGTTGGGTTGTCGTACAGTCTGAAAACTCGCCGATTTTGAGAAATATCGAGCTATTGACATTCCCGAGTCATTGGTGTAATTAGTTGATACTTAGGATTAGGTTTTAGGGTTTGCTTATCACTGGGTTTGCAACATACCTTGTTGTAATAACAACCCGCGAAATGGAAAACGTGCGCGAAGCAAAACGCGCTAAACCGGGACCTAAGCCTAGTGCTGTGTTGGATTATTTCGAAGAAGTCGGTGACTATAGCTCTAGCTCCAAGCGCTATGAAGGCCAGAAGGCGATGTCGTTCGCCGTGGGGGAGTGAGGAGGCTTTAGGGCGGTGTGGTCTGTCGTCTGTGGTGTTGGCCTGACACCCAAGCTATCTCTATTTGGGCTGTAGTATTTGTGATAATCACGGTTTGTTAGGAATGCTAGAATGCAGACGCGAATGTGTGCGCACATGGCTCGATGGCTGTCCAGGTCTGGCTGTTGCCCAAATTCATATTTTATCTTGTGAGAGATCGTTTTCCAAACACTAAAGCAATACGCCTTTCATTGTAAAAGCGAAAAACATGAATTCCATGACGGAATAGCGCAAAAGGAATACGCCACGAGTATTGTAATACGGCATGGCGTGAACCCCGGCGTATTGATACGCCATACGCCTGGCGTATTAATTTGAGGTACCATTATTACGCCAGACGGCCAAAACGAATACGGTCGCATCCCTGCCCGAAGAGGCCCCCCCGGACCCCAATTCCGATTCGGGTCCAATCAGGTCCAATTCAGAGTCCAATTCGCATGAATCAAGCCTGATTCGCCCACATGTGAACACGTCCTAAAAGGCAATCAATCCAGCTTCAATCAAAATTTGGAACGCTCACGAACTTGTCACGCCCTCAGTTCTGCACTTCAGCCGTTTCCTCCGTTTACTCACGGTGCGCTATTACTTTGCCATTTCGAGTGGCTCCGGTCTGCGGCCCCCATCCCACTTTAATCAGCTGGGATCGATCCGTCCCCCAACGCCGGCTTCCGAACCCCTGGGGCCACCGGCAGCATCTGAATCAACATCACACATACTGAAGGCTGCAAAGATTAGGGATTGGGGTCGGGTACCGGTCGGGCCGAATTTAGGATGCGGTGAGAAGGGCCAGGATTAGGATACAAAGTTGATGCCAGGTTTAGAATGAGGACCCCGAGTGTAGGATTAGGATTAGGATTGGGATTGCCCGGGTCCCACTGGCCAGGATTAGGATTGGGATACTGCAGCGGGATGTGGATTACAACCAACAGCCCCTAGGATATGGTTAAGACCACCATCCTGGTATTAGGAGTGGTCCAACCGGCTTCGGCTGGTCCGCAAGTTTTAAGCCTTGGGTCCGGAGCGGCGGTAAGATGCTTGCATTTATGACAGGGAAAATTATTGGCTACTCTTGCGTCTTACTGCGGTCTCCAATGCGCGTGGGCGATTTACGCCCTGTTCATCTGCCTACTTGCATCGCGGCTGATCTCCTTCTCCTTAGGTTTAGATTAATTAGATGTAAACCACTGATTCCCGGTTGTCCTGAATGTGCGATCATTCTGATGCGTTTCCGTACCGCTGTCGTGCCCAGGTCGATGGCTTTACCTTTCTTGGCACTGACGCGACTAGCTCCGCGCAGCCTTCCTTTGTTCCTGGATGGGGCTTACGTGGCGTGGTGAGGTGTCGCCGAGCTATTGTGTTGTCCTTTGCGCTTGCGATAGACGGGCCCGTCTCCCCGCAGGTCCCTCTTCGCACTGGCGGCCTCGGCCTTCAGGGGGGTCCGCTTTCCTTGGTTGGATTGTCGGCTCCATCTCTCGAGTCTCCGCCTTTGGCGCCTTCTGTGGGTTATCCGTTTGCTGCCCCCTGTTCTGTGTGCAATGTTGGCTGATTATCGTGTCTCGCTTGCCGTAGGAGTCTT